CCCACAATGACATCATCTCCCGTCTCTGCCTTCCCCTTCCCCCACAATGACATCATCTCCCGTCTCTGCCTTCCCCCACAATGACATCATCTCCCGTCTCTGCCTTCCCCTTCCCCCACAATGACATCATCTCCCGTCTCTGCCTTCTCCCACAATGACATCATCTCCCGTCTCTGCCTTCCCCTTCCCCCACAATGACATCATCTCCCGTCTCTGCCTTCCCCTTCCCCCACAATGACATTGGGGCAGGGGCAGGGGCAGAAGGTGAGGGGTATACATGAGCACATATTGCCCCTGTATAGGAATTTGGGGTGACCAGGACATGAAGAACGTCTGGCCAGAGGCCCCCTCACTGCATTGGCCTCATGGCACCTTGGTGGAGGATTCTGGGTAATTTGCATCTTCTCCACCATGTGACAGGAATGAAGCTACAACCAACTCTACATAAGGACCGATCTGAGACCCCGCCCCCCACATAGTCTCCGCCTCTCTCTGGCCTTATACTCGCGTAATGTGCCGGGAAACATCTCGCTTCATCACCTGAGAACCTGGGCGGGGCAAATCCTGGAGGCATCTCATAGGTTGAAGGATGTCGCTGAGGCGGGGTCCAGTCCGTGTACCGCGGCATGGGAAGCTGGGCTTCTGGAACCGGAGAGGCTGACCGGGTTCCCATGGTGTAGTCATAGGAGCCGGAGGACAGACGGGATGAGGATGTGGAGACAGGCCGGTCGTAGTACTGGGGGCGGGGGGACGATGGACCGCCCCTGGGGGACGATGGACGGCCCCTGGGGGACCGGGGTGGGTTGGACAGGTATGGGTCTGAATTGTCGGAGGGGAGGGACCTTCTGGTCACATTGGGGGAGGAGGTGAGCGACAGGACGGGAATGGTGCTGCTAGAAGTGACAGTCGGTGGTGCCGTCATGGGGACAAAGGGGGAGGAGTCCTGTGTGTGCGGCCAATTAGATGGCTGAGGTGATGTTGTGGCCATCGATGAAGAGGAGTGACTCCGGCGTACGAGGGACGGTGACAGCGAGGGGGCGGAGTTCTGGAAAACTTCCAAGTACTGCGGAAGAGAAGAGAGGTCAGCCCGGAGCCGTCCCAATGTTCTGCACCCCCCCGACCCTCAGAGACACCCCCCCGTACGTACCTCCCCCTTGCCGGGCCCCGTGGGCGACCGCCCCCTCTCCCGGCCCCGCCTCA